TTATTTAAAAAATAAAAATATAATTACCTCCTTTTAAACAGTGCTTTATGAAATTATAATTTTCTGTACTTTGTTTCAAAAGACTATTATAAAGGTTTGATAACACACACTGTCGTAAAAATATACAATTTAGAGAAGCTTTTGGCTTCTTTTAAGAAATATGTCTGTATTAGTCAGCTTCCTGTCTCTGGGACAAAAGACTTGAGATAAACAACTTGAAAGAGGAAATGTTTTAGTTTGGTTCACAATTTCAGAGAGTTCAGTCCATGGTCTCTTGACCCCCCCCCACTGTTTTTGGGTCTGTGGCAGCACAATATATCAGGTAGGACTAGGTGCTAGAGGAAAGCTGTTCATCTCATGGAAGCCAGGGAGGAGAGAGAGAGAAAAAGAAAGGGGCTAAGGTCCTAGTAGCCTCCACTGACCTAGTGCAACTCCTATAGCTCTATCACCTCCCGATGTGAATCTTTTACTTTTAAACAAATATCCAGTAGTTATGCAACATGTTAATATTATGGAAAGTCTGTTTGGTGAAAGGGTGCTCAGAAACCCTCTTGTACTACCTTTGCAACTTTTCTGTAAAGCTGGAGTTATTCTGAAGTACATTTTATTTAACATACATATAACACTAAGAGACAAAACTTAAATGAATTCAGTACAAAAAGACACGTGAAGAACTTCAATAAAATAATATAGTAGAATAAATGAGTAAACATCATCAGGCAAGTGATATACAAGGTTCTGTCTATTAGATGAGCAAAAATGTAAAAGATTAATATTTTCAAGTATTTGATGGGGAGGGAGCAGAAAGTTGATTTGGTTTTCTTGCAGGGCAAGTTGGCAGTATCAGTTAACTTTATTTATCTATTTATATTTTAAATAAGCAGATCCTCCAGGCCAGAAAATTCCTATTTAATGTCTTGCCTAGTGAAATATACGTGTCCAAAAAGCACATATAAGAATTGTCATTGTAACATTAGACTAGCAGAAATAATCTCAGATAAACTGCAATTCATTCATATTACAGAGTACCAGACAGCCATTTTCAAATAATGAGGTCAATTTTCCTTGTTTGTCCTAATCACCAAGTCAAAATAATATGTTAAAAAATTCAGAGTGAAGATACTGTTTATCATTTGATCCGTAGCGTAAGACCACATATTTCTATACGGCTATTTCCTTCCCTTTTTCTATTTATATTCCCATAGATACATAAAAGCACAGAAAATAAACTGAAAAATAAACTTGGTAGTTAGGTTTAAATAATAGTAGTCCTGGATAATAGGAATAGGAACATGGTGAAGGTGGTCCAGTTGGAATTAAAAAAAAATCTATTGCTTGAATCTTTCACAGAAGGAAAGTATGCTGTCACTGCCTGTGAAATTAAGGTGGGAGACAGTCCTCAAAGACCTCGGCATGTGTTAGGGCCAGCAGGCAGCTCTGGGAAGCTTTGTCACAAGTACCAGGCGTGGTGGCCCACACCTGTAATCCCAGGACCCAGGAGGCTGAGGCAGGAGGATCGCTGTGAGTTCGAGACTAGCCAGGGCTACAAAGTGAGTTCCAGGTCAGTCTCAACTACATAGTGAGACTCTGTCTCAAAAACCAAACAAACAAACAAACAAAAAGCCAGGAAAAAGTGCCACTAATGGTACATACAGTATGAAGTTTTGTTCTTCCACAGCCTCCATCTTTACTTGTCATGTTTTCTCTTTGTTATTATATCATTTGAAGTAAAGAACAATTAGAAGCATGAATCACTGTTGTGAATTTTGCTGTCTGTATTGTGCAGCACCCATTTTTTAAAATGCACATCTCAGAGTATTTAATATGAGGAATCACTGAAATTATACAATTCATACTTTGTGGCTTGAAGCTGGAGGATGCTTCAGTCTGACCTGAAGAGATAAAGTCAGTTGAGTGCAGAAAGATTGGAAGGAAGGAGAAAGGATCCCATCACCAGGCACAGATCCAGCCCAGGGATCACTCCTGGGCCTGCTGGGTATGGAGAACAAGACCACAGCAAGCGCAGACCCTCACAGGGCCTAGGGTCCTACTCATGCTTGTTCTGTGCCTGCTGGCTGCCAGGACTCTCTTCCCAAAAGTGGAAAGTGTTCTGCTGAAAACAAGAGTCTGGGGAAGTTGAGCCACAGGTCTGCTGTTCTAGCCCACAGCGATCACCAAGGTTCATTAAGCCTCCATAGCTAAGGGACTCCGTTAATGAATCTGGGCTGCTTCAGAGTCTCACCCACACGAGGAAGTGGCCTCCAGACAGCTACCCACCAGACAGGAAGTGGTGCTGCTTGCTCGGGGCCTTTGCGGAGCCAAAGATACTGTGGGTACAAATGCTGGACCCCAGCCCTTGGTCAGATCCTCATCAGGGGCAGAAGCAGAGGAGTGGGTGGGAGAGAACCAGCAGGAGCATTGGGAGGCATGGTGGCAGACAGCTCAGAAGCCTGCCCACGAGGTGACAGGAAACCACACTGTGTGACTGTAGAGGCCCTGAGCTCCCAGTGCCTGCTTCATTGACCCATAGACGTTCACTGATGAAACACAAATCCAAAACTAAAATTGGTATTATTCAAGACAGTGGCTGCAGACCATTAAGCGTCACGTTCAGGACCTTTCTGTACTGATGCACAGTTTTGAAGCTAGCTAGGAGGTGTCAGTGGGTTTTCTGTTTCTGATTTAATGTGGAAGACTCTAGAGGAAGATTGAGTTCTAAGAGGTAGAGCTCTTTGGCTAACGGAAGGAAGAAGGTGAGGAAGAGAGAGGACAGGGCTGAGAGAGCCAGGCCCAGAAGCGATTCACAGCCCAGGGGTGATGGAAAAGGAAAGCAGACACTTAGGGTAAGTTTGCCAGTGTTCTGGCTGGAAGGAGTTTCCATTCCTCAGTCTCTGCTTTCTCTGTGAATTATGAGAAAAGGTGTTTTGCTTGGGCTGGGGAAAAGGTCTTTGAGCAACTTTTAGGAGAGTACACAAGATGCAGAATAGTTGTGAAGAGCAGAGGATGCGTGGTTCAGAGGGCAGGGTGAGGCTTGCCTGAAGGCCTGGCTGACGGATCTTGGGACTTTCCGACTGCCTGACTGCAGGGTTCTCAGGAGCCAACAGAGAACGCTGTACCTGCCACAGTCATGGAGCGGTGATCTCAGAGGAAGACTTCCTTTTAGGAAGACACTTCTTTTTCTGAAATGAATAAAGTTAGACTGACGTTAGTGGTTTTTTATTTCTTTAAAAAAGATGAAAAAAAAAGAAAAAAAATATCCCCAGTACCAAAAATAAATAAAATTAAAAAGATGAAATGAGGGCATTTGCCCAGCATGTGCAAAGCCTAGGTTTGATCCCCAGCACTGAAAAAAGAAAAAGATTCCCAGCAATGGTAAATAAATAATAGCATTCTGTTTGCATTTTCTTACTGCAGTGAAGTGTATGCAAAATTGGCCATTTTAACTATCTTTAAGTGTATAATTTGTAATGTTTGTTTTGAATAAGATACATCCTATGTTGTACTCCTAAAGTGTTTAAAAATTTTGTACTAGTTTATGAAATCTAGGAATTTTATGAGTCTGAAAAAGGTTCTTTTCCATTAATATCATTGTATGAATTTATTGGAAGAGGAAAATTCTCAGGCAATTTATTGAATCAATGATATGGCATGGGAGTAAGATTAGTACTCCTTATTTTTGTTATAATACTTTGATAAAGTTCTCCTCCTAGTAGTTTGTATATGTTCTCTCTTAGGGTTTCAAGATTGTCTCATGCTGTACCACCCTGCCCAAATCCTTCCTTTTTGTATTTCATGTGTAGACTCACAGCTCCTACCCAAAATAACATAAATATGGTTTTTTCAGGATCTCTTTTGCAATGGAAATATAAATATACAGATGTAAAATGTAGATGTTCATTAGGTCAAGGCTGTTCTGGTAAGTAGTTCTAAGATTGATAAAGATTTTGCCTACGTAGGGATTCTTTCATTCTGAACCGCAGACACCAAAAATCCCACAGGAAGTTGTCTTCCTAAGTATTGTGGTTTTTTAGTTTCCTGTTCTGTAGAATTCAACAGTGAGAAGTAAATCTGGATGAGAGAAATTATTGGTTAAACTTTAAGTCTAAATGAGAATCTTTAATTTACTTGTGTTTCTTCCCATGTAAATGATCTAGAATAATTGTGACCATATTCATCTGTAAACATTAACATTATAGTATAATTTGAACTTTTTGTGTTCAGTGGATAAAGTCTTAATCATCAAAATGAAGAGTGATTCTGAAATTGTGCTTTATGCTTCCTACATCATTTCAAAGCACATCTCTCAAAATAAACAGTAGGAATGGAGTTATGTTTCTAATTTTTACATTATTTCATCTTTATTTTTTATTTTTATTTTTTGGGGTACTGGGGATGGAACTCGGGTCCTTGCGCTTATGAGGCAGATGGCAGCACCACTAAGCTAAAATCCCTGGCCCTCATCTTTATTTTTATAAATGACAAATTTTACGTTGGCTATTTGTAGTAAATCAGATAGCATAAAAATACAGTTCAAATTAGATATTAAAGTATGTCCACAGTTTACATAATAGTTTAACACAACTCAATTTAGATAGTCTAATTTGGCTTTAAAATACCACTGAAAAAACTTAAAGGGATCTTATACTTCATTGAACTATTTTAATTGGTAGAATTTTTTCAGAGTGGAATTTTTTTGCTTGCCTTCATTTTTAAAACCATGGCGGAGGTGACACTAAATTATGTTGGGAGATTTGATGTCAGAGTGACCAATGAGAACAAGGAAAAGGCGGTAGTGTATTTGTAGCTGTCACTTCTAGGTTTTAGGTGCTATTAAAGATGCTTTCCCTCCTTTTAGGCAAGTTATACAGTCTGACCAACTTATTAAATGAAAAAGATAATGAGAAAGATTCCGCAGCCACCTTTTGAAATAAAACATGCCTACTACACTTTTTTTTATGGTGTATGCTCAGAAAATTTTATCACCACTCTTAAGAGAATAGGAATATCTATCCATAAACAAAACAGTCACAATATAACCTTACAACAAAAAGGACTTCAAAGAAGAAAAGAAAAGAAAAAACCAAAAAACAAAGAATTAGGGTTTGATTTGCAGAATGCTATTTTCTAGTTTCCATAGTTTAGGGCTGCAAAATATATGGTACTTTACTTTGAAGTCTTAATTGATACTTATGTATCATATACAGATGTTTTGTGGTTAAAATTGTTTAAAGTTTTCATGCAGTTGAATTTTACAGAGAAACTCATTGTGTAACCTAATGTTTATGACATTTTTTTATTTTTTATGTGCTGATTGTGGCACTATAGAGGACTAGGTTTCTTTTGGTAACTGGGGATCCAACTTAGGTCCTTACTAGAGTACTAGGTTGTTTAAAGGTGTTATGCAGATGTTACTCAATGTCACTAAAGATGCCTGACATTTGTGGAGAGCTTTACCTTTTACAAAGGGTGATGAGGCTGGGAATGGTTTCCTATCTGTTCTTTAACCATTTCTAAAGGCGCTGGGTCTTGAACTTGGGGTCTTTACATCCTTTGCGGCCTAGGGTGAGCTGGAGAGAAAGGATTTAGAAAAGCAAGGCAGAGAGAACCCTTCCCTGGCTAGGAATTTCAGCAATGTCAGTGGCCGAAAATACACTTGAGCTCTGGGGGCCTAAGGAGATTTTCCAATCTCTGGGGTGTTTCTCAGACTGCTGGCCCCTGTAAGTGCCCAAGGCACGGATTTGACGTGCAGGAGAGCAGCGTCCTGAGCCTGCCGGGGCGCCGCAGAGATGAAAGCCTGGACGCCCTACGCACACAAATGCACTCTGCCTTCGTGAGTCAAGACGCCCTGACGCGTGTGACAGCCCTGATCCCCGACGCTCGCCCAGTTCAGGAAAGGACTTCAGGAATCTGCCAGGCCGGCCTTTCCTGCCACGCTCCGGCTGCAGCTCCACCGGCGCGGCTGGCGCGGCTGGCTGAGGGGCAAGCAGAGCCTCTGTAGGGGGTCGAGAACGCTTCCGTGCACGGGGACGTGAAGGCCTACGGGCAGTTCTGCAGGACCTTCGATTCAAAACAAACAGGAAGACTCGCACCGCAGCGGAAACCGCCTTCAAGTAGGCCGGCCTTTCCTGCCACGCTCCGGCTGCAGCTCCACCGGCGCGGCTGGCGCGGCTGGCTGAGGGGCAAGCAGAGCCTCTGTAGGGGGTCGAGAACGCTTCCGTGCACGGGGACGTGAAGGCCTACGGGCAGTTCTGCAGGACCTTCGATTCAAAACAAACAGGAAGACTCGCACCGCAGCGGAAACCGCCTTCAAGTGACTCAGGCTGCGGGGCTCTTCCTTCCACGCCCCGTCGGA